ATTCTATGATTCTGTGATTCTATGGTATATTCACAAATGGTCCAGGCATGGCATTGCTGTAGTAACACAGGTCCAGGCAAGCCCAGGTCATAGCAGGAAAACAAGCCAGAGTTTGCTAAGTCTGAGCAAAGACCTGCATGGACACATTGCTGCCACAAACTTGAAGGCCTGGGGTGCAGGCAGGGCCCTGAGCTCAGTGCTGCTGGGCAGGAACTGCCTGTGCCACTCCAGCTCATGGCTGCTCCAATTTGATCCAGTGTAGTTTGGCTGTACCTTGAACAGCCTCTTCTTGTCATGGCTTCACAGACTGCACATCAGTGTTAACAACAACAGATGGGTATTCAGACCTGCCACCACACAAGAGAAGCACAGCACTAGGGGGTTGCTGAGTTTCCCATAGGAGATCCCACTGCTCAGCTTTAACTGTGTGTCCAGGGCCCCTGGGTAATTATGGCAGGAGAAAATGCTTGTGAGTTGACTTGAACAACAAACCTGGAACCTAGGATTGCTCTTAAGATGTCTTTCACCTCCACCGTGTATGTGAAGGAACAAAGAAGGGAGAAGATATGTTGCCAGAAAGCTAGAGGGGTTAGTTAAGCCTGTCTAGTTTCTATTTGACGTCTGGTGAAGTTCATGCATTGTGGGACAGCTCATTAATTTCAATACCATTTATGCTTTCTCTGGTAATCCTAGCCATTTCAAAACTAACAGTACAAGCCAGGTAAGTGAACAAGTCATTCTAGAGCTAATTAAGTCCCAGGTCTAGAGATCTGCATCTTGTGCACTTTCTGATTACCTCCAGTCCCTTCAGCTCCTTCTCATCTGCCTCTCCATCAGCACTGGCAGGGTCAGCACTTTGGAATAGGTTGAGGTGTACATTCCCAGTTTCAGTAAAGTCTAACACACAATACAACAGGAAAAGGGGCTATTGCCAGAATGTCTCAAGGGGAAATCTGCCCTTTGGTCCCTGATGCTTATTCTTGCTAGTGCTTCAAAAAAGGCAGAGAAACAATTATGTGAATTCCAGTAGCTACTTGCAAGAGAAAGTGCTTTGAAATTACTAGGACTAGGTCGTTCTTCCTATTTATGAAAAAATGAGTACCACAGAGAACCTTCTAGGACTCAGTTATGGGCTCTCAAGGACAAATTTAAAAAGAGACCTTTGCCACAGCTGAGGTCAAGAAGCCTAGTGTGAGTTTTCTAGGCATGCCCTTGTCTCAGTTCCCTTTGCCTTTTTTTGCCAAGCATCTGGAGGAGGCGAGAATTTTTTTTTATTCTTCCCGTTGCTGGAAAATAGCGGTCCTAGCTGATAGATTTACTCTTGCAGAGGCAGTTAATACAATCATTCCAGCTGGCATTCATTAGTAACATAGATCTCACACACATCAAGTTGAGTCTTCATATATAAGGCAAACACATGTATGTCTGTGTGTGTATGTATACACAATACCAAACCTTCCTCAGGACCGAAGATCATTTAGTTATGTGTGGAGAACCTAAGCATTCACTTCATTAATTTTGTCTCCCATTTTCAGGCACTCTTAAGATAATACAGGTTCTGGTAGGCACAAAGTCTTCTATAGTCCCCTGTTGTCTAAGAAAATTCACAAAACTTAGAGAAAAAGAAGTTGCTTTATTGAAAACAACATTGTGCTTAATGCTTTGTAATTTCACATTATGTTTCAACATTTTATATTGTTAAAGTATTACAAGATAATCAACTTTGCCTAAAAAAGTACAAAATATCTTGGTAGCAAAATAGTAACTTTACCCATGAATAATGCACAGCAGGTTCAAGTATAGAAAACAGACATTTGAAAACACACCTCTTCACACACAGTGCACTGTATATGGAACACAACTATGCAGGCTGACATCTGAGGGTTACTTCATCCAATTCACATAAAGACTTCCAAAAGAAAGGCAGTTGGTGTTACGTGTTTCAAAGTAGTAATGCAGATAAAACTAAACCACAACTGGTAGTTGGCTAAGGGATTGTGTATCCCAGCTTCAGCATAACAACACACTGTTAAATCCACTCATCAAAACGCTAGGTTAAACCACAATAGTAAACAGAGATTTAAAGTACGTCTGGCTACGTCTCACTGCCCATCAGATGAGTTCTTTCTTCATTATCACCAGAAGGATTTTGCAGGCTGGAACTGGAACTGTTTGCGCCAACAAAAGAACAAGAGGGAAGAAACAGTTTTAATATTCTCTAGATACTTCTACATTATACTAGTATCATGTAACAAAAGCTACAAATTATATGGAAAAAGCTATGTGGATCACTAGATTTGCTTCCCCACTACTGCACAGAACCATGTACTACTGCTTTCACATCTGTAATTTCAGAGAATCACATAATGATTTGCATTGGAATGGACCTTTAAAGATCATCTAGTCCAACACCTCTAATTAGATCAAGTTGCTCAAAGCCCCATCCAACCTAGTCTTAAACATTTCCAGGGATGGGGCTTCTACCACCTCTCTAGGCAACTTGTTCCAGTGTTTCATCACCCTCATAATAAAAAATTTCTTCCTCATATCTAGTCTGAATCTACCCTTTCTTAGTTTAAAATCATTACTCCTTGTCCTATCACACTAGGTCCTGCTAAAAAGTCTGTCCTCATCTTTCCTATAGTACCCCTTTAAGTACCAAAAGGCTGCAATAAGGTCTCCCCAAAGTCTTCTCTTCTACAGCCTGAAAAACACCATCTCAGCTTTTTTTCATAGGAGAGGTGTTGCATCCTCCCAATCATTCTTGTGCACCTCCTCCGAACCCACTCCAACAGGTCCATGTACGTCTTGTGCTGAGGACTCTGGAGCTGGACACAGAGCTCCAAGTGGGGTCTCACCAGAGACCTCCCTTGACCTGCTGGCCACACTTCTTTTGATGCAACCCAGGATATCATTGGCTTTCTGGGTTGTGTGTACACATTGTCCGCCCATGTCCAGTTTTTCATCAACCAGCACTCCCAAGTCCTTCTCAGCAGGACTGCTCTCAATCTCTTCATCCTCAAGCATGTACTGATACCAGGGATTGTCCTGTTCCAGGTGTGGGACCTTGCACTTGGCCCTGTTGAACCCCACAAAGTTCACACCAGCCCACTTCTCCAGGTCCCTCTGAATGGAATCCTAACCCTCAGGCGTGTCAGCCACACCACTCAGCTTGGCATCATCTGCAAACTTGCTGAGGGTACACTGTCTATGTTGTTATGGGGATATTAGAAAGCACTTGTCACTGATCTCCATCCAGACATTGAGCCGTTGACCACTACTCTCTGGATGCAACTATCCAGCCAATTGCAGGTCACAGACATGATCCTGAAGGAACCATCAGCAGGGTTTGCTTGTTAATGCCACAGTTCTGTTGCTTGTATAAAACAGGCATTGCCTGTTTTAGGTCCCTGTTTAGGTCAGTAGAGATTTAGGAAAGCATACAGACAAAGTATTTAAGCAGTATTTTTACTGCTCAACTTGTCATTCACTATTGGGTTGGTAGTGAGGAAGACATGGAAGTACAGCCATCAAAGGTTTCTTTATATGACTGCAAGTAAATTAAATAAATATCTCAACATACCTTCTCCTTGCTGCATCAGTGATATAGAATATTCCAGCTGCAAGGCCCTTTGAGGAAATAACTCCATTATAATTGTAATAATAATAGCCTTATGCAATAGGTCATAAATGCAATAGATATAAAAAGCAAAATATGTGTAATTACTTACACTTAACAGGGCCCACCCTCCTTGGATGGCTGAGGCCCATTCAAAACCCAGCTTTTCATTTAGAAATCCTCCCAAAATGGGACCTGCAAATGCCCTGCAACAAATAAAAATTAAGTATTGGTATCTCAAACAAAAAAGTTAATCTATCATCTTTCCAGAGACTTTTTTTATTGGTTTTTTGTGGCCTCCCTCAACTGATTCTCTCTCCTCTGTCAACAAAGGATTGTCTTCCACAGACCTAACTTGCCTATAATCCACAATAAATATTAATTCTTTTTTTTTTTTTGCCACAGCCCAAATAGACCTGTCTAGTTACACCATCAGTTGGAAATAGGATCCACATCAGAAGCTGAATGCTCTCTTTTCTGCCTGGATCGGGCTTAGAGGCTCCATTAAAGAACATGTTCTAACAGGGCATCTGAAGCAATCAATTCTATCATGAAAGAAATTTTAAACTTTCAACTCTCAACATGTAAAACTTCAAGACAAAAGACTGACAGATATAGGCAGGTGGGAATGCACATTGTGATCAATGCAGTTGCTGCAAGGGTGAGGTGTATGTAACCGCCCTGCATCCTCATGCCCGTCTAAGAATGCCGCGACAGGTTACGCAGGTGCTGTGACTTTATGAAAGGTCTTTAATGACATGGTCTTTCACTACAGAAAGGGACAAAGGTGTGTAAAACTAGAGAGACTTCCAGAAATCAAGTCACATAAAACCAAACCTGCTGCCTAAAATGGCTGTTTGGTAACTTTATACTACTATATCTGCACTGAACTCTGTACTAAATAAACAAGACAGCTAGAATCTCAGTTACCTTGGAAAACATGGGGCAATTTGTACCACTGAAACCCACCTGTAGCCACAGAGGACTACAAGGACAGATACAAAAATCCTGGAAGCGGCTGTCAATAAGGGGACTCTGTCACTTCCCATTGAGTGACAACTCTGAGAGATCACTCAGTCAGCAGAAACTATCACTCATTTCTGTGATGACCACTGAGTAGTAAATAACAGGCACACTCTGCTAAGCCACACAAACACAGACCTTAAATACTGGCTGTGGCTGAAAGAGAAGATATGATTCTACTCTAAGCTATCCCAGACATAAGAAAGGAATGTGGAAAATTAAGAAGGGGGAACATAATTAGTCATGAGCAGATATCTTCTAGCTCGCCCCATGTGGGCGGACTTCAGCTTTGTAAAAATTTAGGATACACCTCTCCCTTTATTAAGCATTTTTAAATATTTCAGTGACAAAAAAAACAACCACACAAAAGGGCAAGCTAACACCCACTTAATCACTGCAGCTTTTTGATATGCAGGGCAATACATTTGAAGGAAGTCAAGTTCAGAGTCCATTCCCTTTGCTGGGTAAAAAGCTTTGTTTTAACATGTCCACCAGGCACCTGTTTAGCAAGAACCTTTTGAATCGAGGTCAACACAAGGACTGCAGCGTAAGACTTCTGGTTATAATGCAGCAGGTTTTCATGTGGCAATAGCATAGAACGACTGAACACTCATAGTTTACAAAAAAGTGACTGTGCACCTACCCAAGGGACCACATAGCATTGAAGAGCCCAGACACCAGTCCCAGAAGACTCAGACCTTCTTCAAATCCATTCTCACTGCAGAATGACAGACTGGTTAGATTAGTACAATGCATCATTGTGTCTCAGTCTACAGCCTTCCCCTATAGAGAGTTTTTTCCCTCCTTTTAATTTACACACAACATAAATAGCTAAGAAGCAGAAGCATACAGTTGAAGCACGTCTGTTTACACAGTACTTTCTTCTTTGCTGCCTCTCTGAAGGATTGCAGCACTGCTCCTCATCTCTGGTGTTTTCAGAGTAAGATTCCTAACATCACACCATTGCTCATTCCCCACGTTTCATACCGCAAGTGTAAAATGATGGCAGGTGGACTTTTAAGAAAAGAAAAGATCTTGTTCCAAGAGGAACATTCTAATAATAGTAAATAAGGACCCTTCTAGGTAACTGCTGCCAAGCCTTATCACAGACCTCATACTCTGAGCAAAGTAGGTGCAGCTGTTACTACCAATGCAGTCTGAAAAAAAACCATGAAAACTGCTTGCTATTAATTTCCCTCTGAAGCTAAAATAAATCCTATGTATATGAAATTGCACACAGTCACTACGTGCTATGAGACCCAAAGTCTGATGTACTTCAGTGTCTTCATAGTACTGAGGTACACAGTTACAAAATTGTATTTGGCGTATAATGACTGTCATTACACTGTCACTATTTCTGGCTCAGTCAGAAAAAAATAAGACAAAAGAGTAATGGAAGTATTTAAGTGTTACTCACTACCTTTGTCCCAATAAGGGGGAAAATAAAGCCATAGCAAACCCCCACTTCATATTCATCCCTGAAAATTAGTTGCAGTTTCCTACTGTCAGTAACATGAAAGATGCATTGGACCAAATTACTTACTATGCACACTGCAGGATCTCTGGAAACACTGGGATAGCACTCATGCCAAGGGAAAAGCCAATCAAAACCAGGACTAGCACAAACATCCACAGCTGACTGGAAAAAGAGCATTTAAAAGAAGTTAGCTGCCGAAGACTCATTTCAAGTAAGGATCTGGTTTGAGTGAAGGCTGTTACATCAGCTCTCTGTGACTGACCAGAAAACTAGGTTTATTGAAGCCAAAAAAACCCTCTACTTTAACTGAACACTAAGAGTTGACAAAGATAGTTCTATGTTTGAAAAAAAGACTTTGTAAAAGAAGTTGAAATCTTGTATTCAAATATTTCCTTATCAAATGTAGTTCATTTTAAGAGGGCCACAGAGAGAAGAGGTAGATAGATGAACCTAATTCAGCAATACATATGCCCAAGCTCCAGGCTTGGTTTGTTTTATAGATGAAGGATTTCGCAGTTAAAATTATGTAGCCTAATATATTATAGTCAAACAGACTTGGTGAAGAAAAGAATGTTGATGATTTTACCGACTTCTTTTTATCACAAGCTCAAACTTATGACCTCACCAGTTTCAAATGTCTGATCATCTTTAAAAATTAAAGTCCAGAAGGAAGGAGTTGACTTAATTCTGCATGGTAGTAAGGCACTCATAATTTTGAAGGGTATATAACCTGGGACAGAAGACTGTTTTGTAAATGTAACAGAATGTTCTGCTGTGAATTAACTTGAGAGATATGGCAATGCAGTGTCCAGGTGTAACATACATTGTCTATACTGGGCTAGCTGAAATCAAAGCTATAATCTAGCGTTTTCTTCTCTAAGCTATGTACAGGGAGAAGAAAAATCAGTTCTGCTGCACAGCCATGCAAATAAAACCCATAGTTAAGAAACATTTATGAACAAGAGAAAATTGAAAACTATGGAAGAAAGAGAATTTTGTTTTGCTGCACTGGAAATGCCACAGTACTGTGAGGAAAGGAAAGTAAAAAGCAGCATTCTCCCCACCAGACATGTTAACATGAGCAAACACAGTAACAAAAAAAAAACCAAAGGAAAAGGATCTGTTATACAAAACTGTAAAATCTCCATTTTCAGATACTTCCACAGGTTTGCCTTCACAGTCTCATGTTAGAAATTAAAAAAATCCAACTGTTTCATGGTCAGAGGTGCTAATTATAGATTTGTGGACATTTTGACTATGTTCATGATAGCTATGACAAAAACATCACATGAGGGGACAAGCTCAAAAAAAGGCAGTTCTGTACCTTTCAATGTGCAGTACAGGAGCAGGTCCTAACATGAAAAAGCACAGTGCTGTCATTAAGCCTCCAGATACCAGCAGCCACTTCCTGATGTACTGCGAAAGAAAAGGAAGAGGCACGGAATTTAAAGATGTGAATTTTTAATGTAACTGCCTTGTCTTTCCTATTACCTTCTTCTCCTCAAAAGTACCACCATTACACAATACACAATTTCTCTGTCAGTTCTGAACACCATCTAGAAACGCCAAATTCACATTTCCTCACTAGCAATGCAATCAATGGCAGCAGCTACTTAATATAGAGATTTCCTCGGGATACAGACTAAAGGTGCTTCTCTGCTAGCAAAGTATTTTAGGTCTTACTCTTGCTTAGTCCAAGAATTATCATGTAGCATTGCATGTAATTCTCACAGACAAAGGCCATTATTAGTTTGTGTCAGAAAACTGGCATTGTCCTTCATGCACAGCATTCAAAATGTAGGTTTTCTTAATCAATTAGCAGTGGCTAATTCCATATTGGCTGGAAACAGACTGTACTTAGTCCACCAGAAAAGCTCAACAGTTTTCAACTACAGGATATTTGTTCAACATCCTCTACTATTTGGGACATTCTTGTATTACCCGGACCTTGCAAAAGGGAATTCTAAGTTGGCCATATTCAGTGCACGTGCAAGGTCCTGAAAGACACATCACTTTACAAGACCAGGTCTACACCCATCGATCCAATATGGGAAGTCTTCCAGTTTTAGCTAACCACACAAAGTGCTTTACTAACTCTGCACAAACAGGAGGGTAGTACTCACTGGCAGTTTGTCACTTAGGAGTCCAAGGAGGGGAGAAGACAGGGAGTACGAGAGTGCCAAACCAAGGAATACCAAGCCCACGTAACCAGTTGGGAGTTTGAACTATAGAAAGGAAGACAAACCAAAAAACCGAAAACATCAAATCATATATGCTACATTCGTTAAAGGACAATCAAAGAATAATATTTCAGGTCAAAATACTAAAATGCATGATTTTAAATATTTTACTGATATCATACAGAAGTTTTTCAAGTATTTGAAGTCATCAGCAGAGCTCTAGTTTCCTTCCACTTCCATTTCTTAGCGTGGAGTAAAAACTCCATGACACAACTGTACTCAGATAAAGCCTAAATAGTCACAGGAGGAAACACTATGCTGTGTCCCTGCACCAGCACAATGGATTCTAATATGGCACATTTGAAATAGCTACATCAGACACTGAAATTTGGATGGATTTAGTCATAATCTCAGAGGTCTTTTCCAGCCTCACCAATTCTGTGATTCACCTCTCCAATCTTTATTTTTTTCCACTAAGAGGAACATAAATACTCCAGTCATCCACTGCTAATCAGTGCATCTTAAAAATAAGCAGTGCTATAAAACACAACTCCGGCTTTTCAACCAAAGGAGGAGTTTTATAAGAATGAGTAACAGGCTTTTTGCAAATATCCTGAGATCTACACATCCCTAATGCAGAGTCACATTTCTGCATTGAAACAAAATGCGTAATGAATCAAAAGCATGCTAGTCTCTCAAATGAACGCTTTAGCTATCAGTTAGATGTTTCGTGTGGCATAGATTACATATATATTCACTATTTCGTTGCCATATGCAAGTACACGATAATAACTGTAATTTAGTGGTTATAACACCTGCCAAGGAGCCTACAGCCCTTTCACAGCATCTGCTAGCACAGAGCAGAGGGAAAGCAGAAGAGCCACACAAGTGCGTAATATTCTACAGTGGGATAATTACAGATCCCTCCTGGGTCATGGAAGATGTACATTCACATCTCTACTAACAGAAAAGGTCAGCACCTAGTCTCCTCCACCCTGGATGCATGCTCTAAGTACCGGACTAGACAGATGAAAAGTAGGAGCACAACCACCTGTGAAATGCTATCCCCTGGAAAAACAACCGACAAATAAAACACTCAAAAGGCATTGCTTGATTTCACACAGAAACAGAATCTTGTACTGTTTACTTCAAATTCATTACCTTAAAGACCATGGGGAAAATAAATAAATAAATAAAATTAAGTAGGAAACAACCAAATATGAAAACAAATAAAAACTAACTAAAAACCACAGTGGCCTTTTTAATGAATGAGTGAACAAGTCAGCTGGTGAGCTACATAGCTGCAATCAGTTCAATTTTGACATTGCTGTATGAGAAGGCAGAGCTGTCCCCATCAAGAGAGGTAACACTGTCTGTGACCGTTCCAGTTTTACAGAATTTGCTTTCAGCAAGGACAAGAAAGTCCCTCACTTTCAAAACCAGCTGCTTTGCCCTGTTCAGAGAAGGTGCTCTGCAGCCGAAAGCTAAACAAGTTGAAAAAGCTTATTTTTAAAGACCTTACATTTCCTCATTTTTAGAGTGACTAAGACCCAGCAGCAACAGATTGCATCTATGGAAACGGTGATTTGTCAGTCCTGATAAAATCAATTATTTGGAAATCATGTTATTAACAGCTAATTAAAGCAGTGTAGTTGGATAAGGCTTGATCTTGTTTATGATATTTAAACCACATTTATAATGAATGCAAGTCAAGGCTTCCCTGCATTTTAACAGGACTTACCTTTTTTATGACAAATAGAGACATTGTGGGATCCAAAAAGCCCAAGCATGCACTTAGAGAAAATATAATAAAACAGAGTAGTAAGACTTTCGGCAGAAGAATGAGCTTCCAAAAGGAGTCCTTGCCAGAGATTGAATCTGTTTCAAGAGAAAAGCAGGCAGGTGGGAAATTGCATTATCTTCAGCAGCATAAGATCATGATTATTCTTCTCACTTTAGAAAAGAGACTAGTATTTCCCTTCTTTTAGTTCTATTACTCTTGTTCCCTAACAAATGAAAGTCAACAGTAGTTTATTATGCACTATATTATTTTTATATTTAAAAAACTGAATTTGACAGGTGAATAAAGGAAGAAATGTAAACAATTTAGATTCCAACATTGCAAATGTCCAACTTGGAAGGAATTATGTAAATTATGCAAAAAATAATTATTTCTCTGCTAATCTCTATACAATGAAAATTTCATGGATACATATCAAAACCAACACATATACATGCATGAACTGTTCATATACAACCAGAGAGACATTATTTGAAAGTAAAATAAAAAGATTGCTATTTATCAGTTGAGATCTGTCTGGATTTTTAAGCAACCAGTCACGTCTCCTCTGTGTACAACTTGTACTCTAGACAGGAAGCTTCTTTCAGATGTCATTGTTACATGACATTTCTAATGCAGGCTCCCTTCCTGATGCTGCTTCATGCTTTAATAGTTGAGTATGGACTCAGAGTATATATAGAACTAAAAGTGGATTCATTAGCATCCACCATCGCAGGAGCTAACATTTATTGAATGTAGTTTCAAATTAGCTAGCAATATCACGATTCCATAAAATTTCAGAACCTGGGGAGGTGGGCAGGAGGTTAGCAGTAGCAACACATAGTTAACCACTGTAAGTTTATTCTAAAGGCCAATATACATGAAGTTATTCTCCAACACTTTCATATTTAAGAGGAAAAACAATCTAAAAAACATATTTTAAAAGCTCCTAGTTTTTATTCTAGAAAATACTAAAAAAACTGTAAGCTTGCAACTATGATTTTGTGTGAAGACATCTTTCAGTTAACTTTCCGTCCAAACAGGACCATCTAAAATTTAATCAAATTTATATGGTCTGTAGTACTTCAGTTAAACCCCTCATTTATTAACATTCTTTCATGTTAATCAGATGTTGCAACCTTTTTTGTTCTCCTTGCAATTCTGTTTTTCTCCCCTGTTACCTCTCAAACATGTCAAGTTCTCTTGTTTTAGGCAAAATCTATCCAACAGCTTTTCTTCAACTAGCTGCAATGACAAACTGATGCACAGAAGACACGACTGATCCTTTACAAACCCTTAAGCTAAAGAAAAAAAAACGAAACAAAAATTTATCTTGGTTTATTTCCACAGAGTTCTTAGTGCCTGCAGAGATGAGCACGAGGTGTTGGATTCATTCCAGGCCACCTACACACATTAATTTTAGTTTGCATTAAATCACGGGCCTGATCAAGAATAGAAGTTAATTCTGCTGCAGCTTTGCCCTCTGAAGTGTATCAGACTTCATAAACGGCTTTTTTTTTTTTTTTTCTAAAACGGAGTAATATATATGAGAAGTTAAGGTAAGGGAAAGAAACAAGAAGAAGGGTGCTTACCATAGTTTGGTAACATACACATATTCACAGGTACCAAGACCAACACTATGCATCCCAGTGCAATGAAAGGGATCTCATAACCAAATGCTTGATATAAAAAGCCACCTAAAGGTGGGCCCAGCACCAGTCCCAGTCCTGTAAAAATTTCAAGGCTGCCCTAAAGGATGAAAAAGAAAGCAAAAAATAAAAAAAGAATGCTGATCAACTGTAGCTTAACAATAAAAGCAATCCATTTTTCTGAGGAGCAGCACAGACAGGCTAACAAAAAGGAAAAGGTGCTGCATCCCTAAGAGGGATAATGGCTAGCAGAGACCTTCACAAAGTGGGATAGCGAAAGGAATTTAGTAGTTGTCTGTGTGACAGCAATCACTTACTTTGCTTCAGGATCCGTCTGTACCGCAGCATAGGCCACTCTGCTGTCACCTAACAGATCTCAGTCCTGAGGCAAGACAAATGCTCTACTGATGGAAAGCATCTGTAGGACAACTCAGGCTGAAACAATCACCTCTCCCACCTACAGTCACACTCCAGCCTGAGGGGGAAGACCCAAACAAGCCTGCTTGGATGAGTCATTTGCTTATGGGATCAGGTGCATGTGCCAAGTTTAAGCTGTTTGGATTCACTAACTAGAGGTAGGAAATAACAGAGGAATTGCAATGGGGATAGCTCAGATGCTTTTGGCTACGATTTAATAATTTGGCATCTTTTATAAAATACTCATTTTCAAAAGGACAACAATACAGTTACACTTAAATCTTGTGTTACACCACCATAGTCACCGCTGTCAACATTTGCCTCAATAACTGACTAGTCAGTGCTTAGACTGCTCCCTTTTAACAAGGAACAGCTGGTGGCATTAACTGCTTACAGTCAAAGTTTTGCCAGCTTCTGAGACCCAGAAAGGTAGATAGTATAGGGATTTAAGGGGGCCGGTTAGCTCAGTCAGTAGAGCATAGCACTAACAACACTAAGGTCATGGGTTCGATTCCAGTTCAGTCCCCATATGTTGCCTGATCTAGTCGAGAGGTGGCAGGGAGGCTGGATTAAAATGATCTCTAAGGTCCCTTCCAGCCTAGGCCATTCTATGATTCATCATCTTTAATTCTACTAATACAAGCTAGAGTGGTCAAATGACCCAAGAGGGGGCACAGCCAGCAATAGCCAAGTTGTTTATCCAAGGTCATCTTAGGGTCCCAGCTTTTTCCTTTCCTAGGAAAGGAAATAACTAATAACAGCAAGTCCTTCAAATCAGTTCTAGATACATTTGAGATATTTTGGTAAACTTCAACACATGGAATGCCTGTGAGTTAACATAACTGCAACTAAATAAAATTTTTACTTGTGCTGTTCACCAACCATAAAAAATACTTATGATTGGTGAGACTTCAGTTCAAAATAGTCTGTAGATCATTCAGCCCTTCATTATTGCAGATCAGAGGAGGAGAAGGTAAACCTGATACTGTAAAAACAGTGATATTGCTTATGTTCTGAAATTTATACCTCCTTCAACAGAGGTATTATCTTGATAGACGCTGAATTTCCCACTTCTATAAGGCTGACATACCTACATTTAATAATAAACTTCCCATATACTCTCCAGGGTACCCAGTAGGTAAAAAGTGGGCTGAAAACCAGGAACAAAGGAGTAAGAAGAAGAAAAACACTTTTCAGTATCTAGCACTATCAAGAAGGGCAATGGAAAGCAAGGCTAAAAATCTCAGGCTTTACACTGAATTCTCAGTAACAAGAACTCTCTGTCACTTTCATTTAGGGACAGCTAAGTCTACATGAATGAATATGAAAAGCTTTTATTCTTACATAGAACAAGACATCTGAGTATATAATATGGCAAATAGGCCAATATTTAAAAGCGATCTGTCATGCCTAGATTTTAAACAAAGGCAGCTACCAAGCCACGGCTGTGTACTGTTTCTGACTGGGGCTTGAGGTGACCTCCATCACCACATAATGTTCTCAGTTATGTATCATGTTTATTGTGCTGCCACTGCAGAATTTAATTTATTTTAAAGTCTGATTAAGTCAAGGTTACTTTACTCACCTATTTAAATTACATTTTAAAATTGCAAACAGGAAACCTTAACCTTATTGGCTGAATAAATCCAAAACACAATTTCAATATACAACCTTGCCCAGGTTGTATAGTGATTCTGTCACCATAAGATCATAGAAAAATTCAGTTTGGAAAAGACCCTTAGGGTCATCAAGTCCAACCATTAACCCTACACTAAAAGTTCACCCCTAAACCATATCACCCAACACCACATCTAAGCGACACTTAAACACCATCCCTGGAGTTATTTAAAAGACATGTAGATCTGGTGCTTAGGGACACAGTTTAGTGGTGGAAATGGCATTGCTAGGTTAACAGCTGAACTTGATGATCTGAAAGGTCTTTTCCAACTTAAAAAATTCTATGATTCTATGAACTTGCTTTCCAAAGAAATTGTTGGCTCCTCAATGCTGATACAGTTTTGTAGTTTTCTGCTATTTAGGAGGTTGTATTTTGAAAGACATTTATTTATGAAAGTAACTATGCAGCTTAACAGGAACATTAATAAAAGCATCAACTTTTCCAATTTTAGTAAATGTAAAGTTCTTAATGTTTGTTCATGCATTAAAATTTAACCCAGTTACTTCTGTCAGTCTGTATTTGAATTGAAAGCAAAATTTACTGAAAAAAAAAAGAAAAAGAAAAAGCAGTATTTTATTAAATACAAACCCTTTTCTTTCCCCTCACAACATAAAAGCTAACTAAACAAGGAAAATATCTCTGGTTGAAATGAATCATTGACGACCAAAAACAATGCCTCCAGATTTAAAGAAGTTCTAGCTCTCCCCTCCTCATATATTACTTGCATCAATAGATTAGAAAAAAATGAAACCAAATTGTTTCCAGTTTTGTATCTTTCAGTAATTTAAATCAACACCGTTTGAAGGAATTAATCAAATTTCTTGAATCAGTCCAAATGGACTCTTACAATACATGCAGAAATAGTCACTAAAAACTCTATTAGTATTTCAACAGTCTGATTTCAACTGAAGAGGTAACTACTGCCATCAATGCTCATGTCTTCAAAATATAAACAACTAATATATACTGTTTAATTTTTATCTAACTGAAGTTATGCTGAGGTCTAAACTTGTTCTAGGACTGTGATTCTAAACTACAAACAAACATTATGTGACAACTTCAAATATTTCTGCACTGGAGACAGGAGATTTTCCCCTTCTGGTTTTAGGCTACCTACTAGCAGCTTATCATATTATGGGCACTGAGCTGTAACAGTTTTTTGCACTTACCAAGACAGTAGCTATATTATTGGGAAATGCCTTTGCAAGGATTGAAAATGATGCTGTCATCGCTGCTGCAAAACCTATTGCATCCATTCCTCTTACTAAAAAGCACAAAACGATGAATAGTAGTCTACTTGGCACCTTGTCCAGCATTCTAAAACATAAACCCAAAACAAAACAGTAAATGAAGCACTCCCAGGAAACAACAAGTCACCTACTAAATGATGTCCTGGAGCATAATTTCTTACTCATTAAAGGATACAGTTACAAGACATTCAACGCTTCCTACTGCCACATCTTTTTTAATCCCATTGGTGAAATCAAACTCTACCCAACTATTTCTGGCAGCTTTCTCCTTTTCTCTGTCAAAGAACAGTCAAAAAAAGCACAAAACACCTAATGTGTGAGGAACATCAATGTCAGCTGCTGTTCTGTTTGATAGTTTTCTGAAGCAGCTGTGCAAGGAGCCTGACACAGTGAGTTATAACCGAGAGCTTCCTTCACTGTTAATAAAACTTTTAGTTTGCTAAAATGAGTGAATTAGCCTCAATGCCTACCAGGCAAACCTCATTGCACTTAATATTTTTTTAAAAAGAATAATTAAAACATTATGCATAAATAGTTCCCTTATTGCTGTACTTTGACAGACTTCTTGCTGTTCATCAACTATGGTAGTTACTTAAAGAGGTAGAACCCTCCTCCTTTGTTTTCAAAGTACTGAGTAGGCTTTGAGACATACCAAAAGGAAGAAGTGTTCATTCTACTTTACAAGGGATAAATAAAAAAGAAAAGATACAAAAACTTAGGTGATCTAACCAACACCCGAAAGATGCCCAGGAGTTCCCAGTTTTGTTTTGTGTCCATATTTCACACAGATGAAAATAGTTAGGAAACAAATGTAATAAAACCAATCAACAAAAACTACTCACCCAAACAGAATGGTAACGCATCCTGAAACAAACATCCCTGCTACAAGCATGAATTTTGCTCCAATACGTGCAAGCTGTAAATTAAATTCCATTTTTACACATTATTATTTCAAGCCTAGATGAAAAACCTTTCAAAGTTACTCTTAAGAAATCAAAACACATTACAGACACTTTAGAGTAATGTAACTAAAAGAGCTGGAGACAGCACTCCTGCTGGTGTCATGCAGGAGTCTACTCATGCAATACTGAACCTAAAAATATTCTAAACGTTTAAGTGACTTAACCCAGTTTTCAGGACGGTAAGACATGGTGCACTTAACTCTTTCACATTACTGTGCTGCAGATTCTGCAGAGCAGTTCACAGCAGCATTTTCCATTATAAACAAATAGAAAGTAACACATTCCCCTCCTCCAGCACTGTCAGTGATGCCAAGTCAGCAATACCTGTCACATAGATGTCTCAGGAGAGGCAATGGAAGCCAACTCCAAAGCGCATTTATCACAACCTTTAAGAGCACAAAGCTTTAGCACAAGAATCACAGTAGCTTCAGGCTTTCCCATTCATTGCCAGGGAAAGGACCCTACCTTCCTTCATTTACCAGAGTAAAGGACGACGAGATGCATGCTGTAAAGCTAACTCAATCCTGTAACAAAGCAACTCTGAGCTTCTAATTCCATGGTGTAACCTGCCCTAAGGACAGCAGGTATTTCAGACTCTTCTTGTTCAGGCCTGGACAACATCCCTGCATTTCAGTCACTATTACCAAAGCCTATATTTTGCCAAATTTCACTGAAACCCTCCTGGCACTCACTTCACCTGTTAGCAGCGAGGACAGCGTGCTCAACCCCTCTACCCTGCAAAGTGCTTGATAAGGGTTGTATCACAGCTGAACGCCATCACAGGCACCGACAGCTGGACTTGCCAACAGTACTAGTGTGACACCGATAAGCCACCTCCCCACCAGAAGAAATCATTCAGCATGGGGTTGCCATGGGGATTGGCAGCCAAAGAAAAAAAAAAAAAAGAATACTATGAAACTGCAGCAGCCCCAACTGAGGCTATGATTCTGAGCAGCTCTAGACAAAAATGCTTAGATAGTGCAGCTACCTTTTTTTAAAATTTCTCCAGGACAAAACCAAAAAAAATCCTAATCTATGGGAAAAATAAAGCTGCAAGAACTGGAGACTTTTATCTCATATTGCTGTATAAAGCAGTACAAGGGGAAACCAAGTTAAGCAGCAGAGAGTAGGAGGAAATGTTAAGGAAAAGACAACATATCAGAAAGGAAGAAGGGGTGCAGCCAACTAAAGAAAAACAAAACACCTTAAGAACACCACCAAAGACAAAAAGAATATGTACATAAGTGCAATAAATAAAATTGGGGATAAAAGGAAACAAGAAAGAAGAGGAAGAATTGATCAGCAGATTACTCGGAAGCAAGTAGAACAGCTAACCAGATAAACAAAACAGCTTCATGTCCACCATTCTATGCTACCCCAAAAAGTAGTTTCTAAACTGTACTGACAAGAGTTAGATCAGTCTCAGACTGACTGGTCAGGCTTCAGTTACTGCAGACACAAGCCTGCAGGAGTGCTACTGAAGAGACATCTCTATTCTCAACCTTGGAGAACTGTCTTCATGTACCAACCTGTGTGGCCACAGAAATAAATTACAGCTCCAATTATACTTACGTAATTTCCCAAGACTAAAGCAGTCAAGAAATTGACCAAAGCAAACCATCCAAAAATCAGGCCAACAATGGTGTTACCGACACCTTTTTTTTCTGCCTGCAAAAAAAGATCACAACTGCATAAAGATGGGGGCAAATTCTTGAGGTGAGTAACATTCACGCCTTGTACATTTCTTTTTAATTCTCTATTAGTACAGTTACAAAGCAACTTCCTTTCTCAAAGGAAGCAGAGTCTTATAAAGCAACAACAAGGCAATTTAAAGACGTGTTGCACTTCTATTTAAGGTGTATGCTATCAAGGGAAAAGCAACGTTCATTAATCAACGAGTGGAAACGCTGTGCTGTTTGCTAAACAGACGACTAGACTTTATGCAGGTGGCTTCAGGTTGCTACTTTGCAGCAACGGAGCTAGCTACAAAGCTTTGATCCCTCACATGGCTAAAGGGCTGTGAACAGAGATACTTGTTATCTTCACTGTATCATAACCTCCCCATAACATGCACCAGGCAAACGTTTTACTTCTCCAACCGACAAAAGCCACTTAATTGGCTACAAGCTGTACACAGGAATATTTAGTGTAAAAATAATCTTAACATTTCTCTGTTAATACTTGGGAACAACTTGGTCATGAGGCAAATGGGCTTCCGCTGCAAAGGCACCATGGTAATTTTTTTTTTTATCCTATATTTGAATGTTTTACTCCTCAACTGAAGTAGAGATCATTGTTTTTTCTCTCCATTTGCTAGGTCAGGAAGTTTAACATAGCAAATGATGGCCCAGCATGAGTTGACAGAGAGATAGCCATAAATAAAAGTCACTGTGTGGCTAAGTCACTGTAACGCAAGTGGGGACGCTGGCAGAGTTTTAATGCCAGCTCTACTATCAAACTGGTGAGTGCTGGACAAAAAACTATTTCACTTTTCCAAGTACCCTCTCTGACTTCTCATATCACCAGTTTGCTGTCTCCTCTGCAGCCACAGGGGCAGTAACATTAGACCATGGACAGGCTCCAGGCCACAGTTATATACATTCTAATCTATTTTACCCAGCATCAGGCTATTGCCATGAATTCCCACAACTGAAAAGCCTTAACTCAGAACTCACAGCCAGCCATAAAGCTCCCACGGTGTTCAAAATGCTTTAAAAAGCTAAAAATAATCTAAAGCATAGTTGTTTTTTTTGTTACCTCTGACGGAAAAAAGGGTCCCAGGATTGAATAGCATAACATTGAACTGAAGTTTATGGTGGCCGCCGCAGCCATTGTAAATAGCTGTTCCCTGGTAAGCCTTCTTGATTCCCCACCAAGTGCTTCTGGCATGCCATCTTCTTAAAACACAAAAGGAAAACAAATAAAATAAAATAATAAAATAATAAATAATGAAAAAGAAAAGAAAAG